GCTTCTCTGCCATGCTTGCATGTTATACGTGATATGTATTCGATGGATATTCCTCTAGCATGTTGGACTTTCTTCTACTGGATGGAATATAAATGTGAATCTCCTATTAAACGGAATCGGTCTCGTGAAGTACTGCGTTATTTTATTCTCCATGGTGTAGAGAAGTCGGTTGCTTTGCTTCGAAGGTATGAGCATGGCCATGCGAGAACCTTGTGTAGTCAAGAGCTTCCACTCATCGATCATCTATACTCCGGTTCAGGCGCTGCCTCTTTAGCTTTTTCATCTCTACCCACTCCTGAACTTTTCACTCATTCCACCAACTCCGCCCAACCTCCGAGCTCCGAGACTAAGGTCGAGGAAGCGAAGGCAAAAACGGATGAAGAAGGTGAGGATGGTAGGGGCTCAGGGAGTGTGGATAGAGAGAAGCAAAAGCGCGCTGCCTGGGGTCTCTTATTGCGACTGGGTTTGTTATATGTAGCTGAATTGTCTGATGGTTGTAATGAATTGTATAAAGCTGAATCGGCTTGGAAAGCTGTTCGGCAAAAGAAGGGTGATTCTTTCGAGTCCTATGAAGTGAATGAACAACAGAGCTTCCAAATTTATCAAGCTCTACGCTCCTGGGTTGGTCTGCCTCCTGTTCCTGATCACGAGAGAGCTGTAGCTTTTATCTCACATGCTGACTCGTCATTGGTTCAAGCTTATACAAAAATTCTCCGTAAAGACTATGTATTCCCTTCGTCGCTCACTTTCGTTGAGGTGTGTGAAGGCCTGGCCAACTTGGACAGAAAGCTCTCTATCAAGTACCCTTGGGAGCCTGACTTTCTCTCAGGTAAGGCCAGTCAGCCTACTACTAAAGCTACTACCGCTACCACTACTCCGACTACTAGTGTTGCTACCCGCTCTGATACTACTAAAGGCACAAATGACTCTAAGACCACCTCTACAACCAAAGTGAGTCCTCAGAGAGAGACTAGTGATTCTAAGCATTATCATGGTCCTCGTAAACCTAAGCATTGGTGTCCTAACTGTCAGAAGCATGTTCGTCATTCTCCTTCTAGCTGTTGGAAGCTTACGACTGGTCCTTCCAAAAGTGTGGATAGTGGACCTTCCCAAAGTCGAGATAGTGGTAAAGTAGAGTCCCAGAACAAGGAAATTACCTCTCCTCCTCGTCAGTACCCTTTTCGACAGACAGCACAACGACAAGAAGGGTTCTCATATAAGCAGCCGACTCGCTCAACGGTAGTACCGGCTGGACCTAGTCAACCCTCTGTTAGTCAAGCGCAACCACCATCAGGATCGGCCAATGCAGGGAAAACTTCTTTCCCGCAGGCACGTCTTGCTACCCAACTTCCACCAGCTCTGGCACTTACTGAGAAGTCAACTGCGTCGAATCCTCTGGGACACTTCTGTACCCGAGGAATTCTGCTAGGAGTTGAACCAGATCCAGTTGCTGAGAATGAGGTGAAGATCATATTTGGTGCTATCGATTCGTTGTGTGAAGTTACCTGTATAAACAGGAATCTTGTCTCCCAAGTTCGTCATACTCAGGGATCGCTTCCTACTTTGGAATTGCAGGCTTTTAATGGCGACACAGTGCAGCTCACTGAGTCAGTCGGTCTCACCATCAACTTCGGTCACCAACATATTGACATACAAGCTTATGTGAGTGAACTACGTGGCTTGTCTATTGGTCTCGTGTTGGGTGCTGACTTTTTGGAATTGCCTGGTGCTTCTATTTTCTGGTCTCGCCGACGGCTAGAGGTCGGCTGTGATTCTTGTCAGCTATATCTCCTCTCGGATGCTTTTCGCTTGATAGCATCCAAAACTACTCTGGGACCATGGTTAGGCGCTGACTGCAAGGTAGCCCCAGACCGACTGGATGACTACCTTGGAAGTTTAAGTGACGCTGACCTTCAGGCCTACATTGCCTACCGTCTTGAGGACTATACCCTGCCCCAACTCGACTTTATAGTGGACTATGAGGATACTCCCTACCAAAGTAGGTATGATTATGGTATACCTAAAAATTTGCGTCGTGGTTTGGAAAAAACTATCGAGATAGCTATCGCCTCAGACCAACTGGTTGAGGTTCCCTACTCTAGTGATATATCCATCAGCCCAGCTTTTGGCAAGGCCAAAGGTGGTGCAACTCGAGACTCAGCTAATGGTGAGAGTGTTCCTGCGGTTAGATTGCTATGTGATCTACGAGTGATTAACCAGCGTGTACATCTTCCAACAGGACTTGCTGAGATGTGCCCTTCCTTAGATTCTTTCCTAGGGGCAATTCCATCCAGCTCGGTGGCCTATAGTGTTATCGACTTGTCGGATGCCTATCACAGTGTAAGATGCTCTGCTCATGCATCACGACACTTGTGCATACGAGTCCTCAATCACATCTATCAATATCGTGTGAGTCCTCAGGGGCTCGCGGCGTCTGCACTCTTCTTTACTCCGCATCTATCTGCTGGTCTGAACCGCGTCTTTGGACGAGCATGGCATCATTGGCTTGTAGCATGGATAGATGATCTCCTCGTACATGGTTCGTCTCTCTCCCAGGTGAGGATGAGAGACCGCATTGTTCGTGCGGGACTAATTGGCTTGGATAAGATAATCTCCCCTAAGAGTCTTCCACCCAGTGAAGAAGTGGATTGTGTAGGAATTCACTTTGGTCGAGGATTTTATCGTCTGAGTGATACATCTGTGGCAAAACTGAAGAGTGTGCTTCAGACCCCACCAACGTCTGCACGTGGTCTCAAGCAAACGATAGGGGTCCTACTCTATTCAGCATCTGCCTTTGCTTGGTCGCCAGAGAGGTATGCAGACTTCACCCGTTGTCTCTCTCCATTGTATCGTGCCCTTCCGTCGTGTAGCTCGCCAGACCGGTTCCTATGGACGAGTGAATGTGATAATGCCCTGGAAAGTCTTTCGGAGCATCTGCTAAATACCCCGTTGAAGCAGCTCAGCTACAATGATCTGCTTAAAGGTACCTTCGTGGTTATGAGTGACGCTGCAGATACAGGTTGTGGAGCCTGTCTCTTCCAGACCACATCCCCTATTAAGCCCGACGATGCTACTGCAACTCTCCTTCAAGATCCTTCACGATCTCACCTGATCAGTGAGTATCATCATACATTCAGTTCTCTAGAACGCCGTTATCATACTTGGGAACTAGAATGTTTAGGCATAGTTCTAGCTTTTAGGCGGTGGAACCGTTTATGGCTATCTACATGTCGATGCCGTGCTGAAGGAGAAGTTAATGTTATATTCCTAAGCGACTCCAGTACTGCAATCTCACGGTTCCAGAACTTCAAGATTCCCCCAGATAACCTATGTGGTGTCAAGCTGCGTAAATTCCTTGGTTGGCTGGAGGAACTCGAAGAATGTCGCTCTTCTGGTATATATTTTAAACACATTGAAGGGAAATTGAATTCTCTCAGTGATGTTATTTCAAGGTTTACTGAACAACTTGATGCCCAAGTTGTTGCTAAGCAAGAACCTGCTACTAGCCTTTTGGCTTATGCGCTCACGGTAGGATTAACACCGTCCACTGTGCAAGCAAATGATGAAGAGGCTTCTTTGAGTCCACCCTATCGTGTGGTTCACTTAGACTTATCCGAAGCCGACGTGATTCGTCTAGGGCGATTACAACGAGAAGACACTACTGCTTTTCATGGTGTCAGAGTGATGGATATCATGACGTATGCGGACTGCTCTCGTACAAAGGTAACTTGCTCTTTATCGCCGTTGGTACAGAGACAAGTTCTCGGTTGGTTTGGTCACTCGCTCTGGTGCTTATATCATCCAGCCGCCAAACACGATGTTGGGGCTCAGTACCATTATTGTACGTGCTTTCCTCAGCCCAAGTGTGCTCTCCGTCCACTACAACTACTACTCAACTCGTGTGGTCGTACTGATGATTCCTCCAGAGGCAGATGCCACAGAAGCACAGCCATCTTTAAGATGGAAGCTCATACGGGAAGCTCACTCTAGAGTCCATCTAAGAGTAGGAAGCACTCAATCCGCTTTGAAAAATTGTGGATCAGCTTAAGGAAGGTTGTGACGTAATCTACCAGGGTCAAGTTCATTCAGTTCAACGTTTAACTACAAACTCCTCTGGTGATCTGCTCACTGCCACCTTATCAGATGGTAGTGTTGTTCAGGTGTCGGATCTTGTCCTACCAGCATTGAACTCTGACAGAGATGTTCCTCTTCTGCATGAGCGTAATCAGCAAGGTGCCTTTTCGCCTGGTGACTTGGTCTTCTACCGTTCTAGGAACCCCGAGTTTCGCGGGAACTCCGCTATACCTGAATGGTTTATCTATGTTGGCAAGGTGATTTCTTATTCTTCTTCTAATAGTGAGTATCAAGTCCACGTCTATTGCCCAGGTGATGCTGGTACAAGATGGCTACCCATATGGGTCTTACCACCCAAACGTGGTGTCACGACGACTTTGCGCCGCACTCAACCTCCTCCTGCTTCTACTCCCAAAATGGTGAGTATCAAGGAGAGTGATGTCCTAGCTAGATGTGGTTTAACCCCTAGCGGCAGCATTGAGACTAATTCTCGTCAGTGGTTGCACGCTGCAGGTGTTGCTCCCCCAACTTCCTCTTGAACCTCCAACTTTGAAGTGCTGGTTTAAGAAGTAAAGATGGCCTCTTGTTAAGGCTAATGACTAGAGTGGGGGCTTTGTGACGAGTGGGTTACTAATGACTAGGACTTTGTTCTCCTCTACTCATGACCCTCCACAATCGTCCCTATTGCACAATATCCTACAAGCTGTGCTAAAGTCTAGGCTAGCTACTATGCTATGCTAATATAATGATACAAGTGATGATAAGGTGTTCATTGTATTGTATGTGATAATATTGTTTCAGCCTATTAACTCCCACTCGTATTATTATTACTAATAATATGTCTCTATCTTCAAGGCTTGATGTTGAGATGGATAATGGAGAGTCTAGATCTACCACAGTTCACGAACCCTCATTTGAACCGAGTCGCTAGATTGACTTCATTATCCGTTAACGATACTAACTTATTATGTTACACCTCAGTAAACCTAGTCACTTGCCTAGTGTCCTTACTTCTGTGAGTAGGTTCCTTATTCGCGGACGTAGTGACTCTATTCGTCAAAAAGATTTCTGAATGGATTAGACGGAACACGACAATGTGATCTGAGAAGCGCCTGTAAGATTTGACAACAAGAACATTTAAAGCTATACACAATAAATCTACCATAGCGCGTACAGCACATATCAGCTGGGACTAGAAGATATACAGAAGCTTTGACAACAAGAACATTTAAAGCTATACACAATTAATCTACCATAGCGCGTACAGCACATATCAGCTGGGACTAGAAGGTATACAGAAGCTTTGACAACAAGAACATTTAAAGCTATACACAATTAATCTACCATAGCGCGTACAGCACATATCAGCTGGGACTAGAAGGTATACAGAAGCTTTGACAACAAGAACATTTAAAGCTATACACAATTAATCTACCATAGCGGGTACAGCACATATCAGCTGGGACTAGAAGGTATACAGAAGCTTTGACAACAAGAACATCAAAAGCTATACGCTATAAATCCACCATAGCGCGTACATAACATATCAGCTGGCACAAGACGGTATAGAGAGAGATTGAACGGCAGTCTAAGGATCTCGTGAGCAGATGCATGCTCAGCAACATCGTGTCGTACAATCTGGAAGATTGCTGAGACCAGAGATAGCATCCTTGGGCATGGCCAGGAGATTGGCTGTTGCATCAGATGACATTCTTGAGCCGACGCCACTAACGGTTCAGCTAAAGAAATGAAAACCGGTTGGATTGACCAATTATGTCAAAATAATATTTTGAAAATATAAAGGAGAGAGTACTTTTGGCTCGTTGGACAGCCGAAGGCAATGTCAACAAGACATCAAATGTCAGCAACAACGCTCGCACTTTTTGCCACAAACGAGGGCTAAAGGCCAACAGATGGGCGGGATAAACTCAACTGCCGGGCAGGTTGAACACACTACACATGTAGGTGAATCTCCGAGATTGTTAGGCGAGCTCTGTTTGAGCACAAATTCGGACACATGACCGCCATTGTCGACCTGCTTATCCATCATCATCTCGGAGATGATCTTCCCAGCATCATCTACGTGAACATCACCGATAACAACACCCAAGATGAACAGGATAGCCAGAATGGAGGGTAACTTCATATGAGCTTAATGTGATGAAGATGGAATGCCTGAGCGCTTAAGAAATACTGACAATGCCAGCCTAGCATCGGCACGTGGCTCGAG